ATGTTTCCCATCATACCGTTAAATCAAACCACAACAACGCAAGCCTGTCCATCACAGTTCAGCTATTATGTTTATGTATTCTTATTATATTAAGGGTTCAGTTAGAAGCACAAATAACTTTCCAAAAATGAATATGATGCAAATTAAGCTAAAACTAACCAAAAAGAACAAAAACTACTTTCAGTTGCTGTCTTTTACCAGACATATTTCACAATAACTGAAGTAATGACACTGAATGTTATGTTTATGGAAGCAAAGCTTTGATTCAAACGTTCCAAAAATGCAAAAGTCTGCAGGTATCATTTATTCGATTGTTCTAACGCGGTGATAATGGATGGCATGTGAAGGAATCGTCTTTTTGCATTGGATGGCAATCGACCATGCATATGCACAGGGTCCATATTAGTTGAAAATAGTCTCAAACGGCAATATTGTTTCTCACGATAAATTCTTGGGCAATTTATCTTCAAAATTGCTACAAAAGAAGCAATAAATATTTATTTTTGTAATAGTACCACAAAATATCATAATAACAATTCCAAGCCCCTGGATTCATATTTTTGGCTCATCTGGAAAACTGGATGTCTCCTTCAGCTCAAGGGCAGCGTGGCGGCGTGAAGCCCGGCCTGAACAAGAAGAGTCTGCACAGCGGGGATGGCGTGCGTCCATCGCCGCCTTTTGTTGTCAGGCTGGTGACTCAGCGAGGCGAGGCGGCAGGCGTGTTGGATCCGCGGCACATTTTGTGTTTGTGTGAAAACACGTTGCATCAGGCTGGGGGAGTGACTCATCACAGCTTTGAAGAACTGATGGTTTTAAATGCGTATTATGAGACAGTGCACAGCTGCCATGCAGAACAGGCTTGTACACCAAAACTTAACATGTTTAGTGTTTTGAACGGGGGTGGGCAACATGGACTTTAAGATTTATCGCAATATTTTATGGTACTTTTGTTGTAGCAACAAAAGTGATACTAAAACTATTTACTGGTTCTTTTTTAGGTAAAAGTATCTATGGGAAGTTTTGCTGAATGATAAATCGGCCCAGAAATTATCACGATAAATGATAATATTGTCATTTTGAGATCATTTTCATATATAATAACAATTATGACATATTAATGCAAGCATAGCCACTTAAAGATAAAACGAACTTCAGTTTCTAAAGAACATAAATATTTTAAATATCCAAAAATAATTTTAAAAAGGGTTATAAAGTCTCTGTAACCAAAATTGCATTTCAGAAAATAATGACAGGAAAATCTCAGACAGGAAAAACAGCCAAAAGTGGCAGGTAGGTCTGGTGAAATTTTAGTTTTTTAAAAAAGTGCTAGCTAATTACCATTTATATCCATTCCTAAAATGCACCCCGGGGGGCCACACAAAGCTCTTCTAAGGGCCGAAAATGACCCCCAGGCTGCACTTTGGACACCTCTGCCGTAAGAGAAGCCAACTGTTAATAATGCTGGTGTATCATCACCAGAACAGGACGTTGATGGGCTGGACTCAGCACAACGAAGAGTTTTCATAATGAACGAATGAAGGATCTGGTGTCACATTGCTTCTCTCTGATGACGGAAATACCCCTGACCCCTGCACCAATTATCAGATCCTAAAAAAGACCTGTGTCCCCTTGAAGAGGGAGAGTTGGGATTTCTGGGAGTCACTGGGAATGGTGGGATTTTCCATGTGGAAACAGCATGCCTGTACAGCTGCTCATCCAGATTAAATGTTTCTACTGTTGAAATATGGAAAGATAGAAGCAGAAAATAGTCGGATTTCAATGTTCAATAATAGACCTGTCATTAAATACATTAGAATAGTGTTACAGATGGCTATGGAAGATGATTAGTGCTGAAAATAGAGAAAACAATACAGATTTTTTGTCCCAAAAAGACTTTTGGAAAAATGTGAAAAAATCTGTGAAGTACTTTTTTTTTAAATCAAAATTGAGGAATTGACAATTTAAATAAAACTCTCATATCTTTCTGAAAAGTTACTTATAAGTTAGTTTCATCACATTTCAAGTGCTCTAAGATATTTGCTCTAGAAATATACTTGGCAAGATTTTATGTTTTTGCAGTGCAGTGACGAAAGTCACACTGCAAAAGTGTAAAATCTTAATATTTTATCCAGTTTCTTAGTTTGTCTAATTTCAGATACACTAAACTAATAGTCACTTTTTAGCAAGATGAATTAGCTTTTTAAACTTATGACTTATAAAATGTCTTGGAATAAAATCTGCCTGTGGAACTAGTGTGTTTTTCATTAATTTAAAGAAATTATTAATTTAAAACTTACAAAAGAAGCTACTTGTAAGTTAGTTTTGTCTTATTTCAAGTGTACTGAGATATTCGCACCAGAAACTAGACTAGATTTTGTGTTTTTGCAGTGTAAATATAAACTCTCAGTGAGAATAAAAACAGTCTCTAGTGAGACAACGAGCTAAAAAAAATCGGATTAAACTTCATCCTTTCAATTTGCTCTCTCAAAATAGAGGAAGTGTGATCTTCAGGAGCTTTTGTGCGAGCGTGCAGGCTTTCTTTGATGCAGTTTCGGGGAAGCAAATTGAGGGTTTGGGCTGCAATGAAAGACCGAGGTGAAACGGGTAGCTGTCATTCAACGCACTGAAACCAACAAGGGTGGCTCAAATAACCTGAGAAAACAGATCCATTCAGACTTTCAGTGAGAAATAAAGAGAAAAGATGATTCAACAGCCACACTACTAAGATTTCTATTTATGTAAAATACAGTAAAGAAATTGACCTCCTGTAACAGCTAAATGTAAGTTTATCAAAATCTATAACAGTTTTAGCATCTACACTGCAAAAACTAAATCTACCAAGTACTTTAGTTTCTAGAGCAAATATCTTAGTTATACTAAGTAATGTTTCTTTACGATATACAAGATTTTAAAAGTCAATAATTCCTTAATGTTGATAAAAACATACTTGTTCCATTTCACTTAGAAAATGGAAAAATGTCTTGTTATAAATAAATGAAATAATCTCAGTGGAACTAGTACTTTTCCCTACATTTTAAGAACTTATTCACTCAAAACAAGCTCCTCTGTCTTGTTAAAAGTTACTTGTAAGTAAGTCAGTTTTATCTTTCTTAAAGTTTTCAGAGATAGTTGCACTAAAACTAGACAAAAGAATACTTGGTAAGGTTTTGAGTTTTTGCAGTGTCAAAGTGACCTTTAAATGTTGCTTTGAAGATTTTTGTATTTAATTTGAGGTTGCCTCTCTAATAAACCGTTTGCATGCTAGCATGAGTTAGCGTTTGAGCGCTAGTCTTTGAAGTTTGAACACCTGCTGTAAAGCGACATGACGAGCAGTGATTCATTCTTTTTTTGTAGTGTTTCAGCAGAAAAAGCCCCGAGTGTGTTTACAGTGCAAACACAAAAGAACCAGAGGTCACCGCCATGGCAAACCCGAAATGCTGCTTCGGTTTTTTTTAACCTCAACGCCAGGCGTCCCTTCCAGATTAACAGATGTTCTTCAATTTCACAGCCATAAAAACAAATCCAGTTCTTTTTCTTGTGAGTGGAGAAAGTTTGCACGTTTTAGGAGAGAAAACCAAACAAAGATTGTGTCTTGTTGAGGGGAGTAGCTGCTTCTGTTTTTATGTTGCTAGTTTGCTGCCCTGTAATTTGCAGTCATGTCTTCCCTCTTCTGAGATTTTCTCAAACGTAACCAGACACCGCCGCCGTATTTACAACTCGTCAATGTTCAGGTTGGTTTACAACGGTTACAACTTAAGGTTTTGATTTTTCAGAAACAAACTTGATCAAGTCCTTTCTCCTCCTGTGGAAACATGAGATTCAGGCTTTTTCTGTCTTTTACCAATTACACTTCGAACTTGCAGGACCTTTGATCTTCGGGAAAAATGGGAATTCTTTGGGCATTTTATGTTTGTGCATAAAAGCGTTATGTTCCCAAACTGTATATGCATTCAGCTCTAAAAGTTGGTTGATGTGTTTTAAAGCTGCATTTATTGATGAAAGGGTAAATGATCTGATTTTTCCAATCAGATCTCTGCAGAAGAGGATCAGGGCCACCAGAAAAAAAAATACTTTTTTTTCCTCAAAGTTATGACTGAGTTTTGAAATATTTTCTCAGAAATTTAATTTTTTTGTAAATAAAAAAAATTGCCCCCTAAAATTCAGATTCTTTTCTCTGAATTCTTACTTTATTTCAGAATTCTGCATATGATATAGGTAAAAATTGTCCAACTCTTATCTGTGATTGTTGCATCTCCACTGAATACTCCTCCAAAACGCTGGTCCTTTATAAGACATTTCCCAGTGAAAATCCATGCTTTTTTATTCCCATTACTGCCGTTTCTCCCAGCAGATATCAGCAAGTGGTGAATGATAAAAATAAGATGTCAAACAGGAAGATGAGCTGCCACTCATGTTGAATCCCTGCAGAGAGGATCTGAAGCGACGAGATCCATAAATTGTCCGTTTCTTAAGTATAACTACTTTATTAAGACTTGGATCACTTCTCAACCTTCCTGCCCTCTTTTATTCCCTGGGAAATAGAAACTTGATGGTCCTGTTGTGAGTTTAGGGGAGGACAGGCGTGAGTTTGGTAACTAATTATGAAGGAAGCCATTCAGATTATTCAGATGCTTGCTCTGCTCCCCCCTCCAGGCAGTGAAGGGTCTTTTCTGTCCCCAGAGAGTGATGTCAGCACGGCCCATTGAAAACAGCCGCCGTGTGCTCAGAGATGAATGCCCCGGCTGAGCACAATGGCCCCAATTTGAATACCACGCGGATACACTCCGGATCGGAGCTGCAACAAAAGAACCAGGGGCTGCTCCGGTCCCGTTTAGCCATGCTGTTACTCCTGGAGCCGTGAATTTGCAACAACCGTTTATGCCTTTTGTTGGTGTTCAAGTGTCTTTGCAGAGTTTTGAGACACTCTGAATTTCTGGGACCGGATTTTGTTTTTTGGTGGGTCTAGAAGCTGACGGGTGTTTTTGTGCTTCTGGATGCAGATCTACACGGACTGGGCCAACCACTACCTTGCCAAGTCAGGACACAAGCGGCTCATCAAGGACCTGCAGACGGACGTTACGGATGGAGTGCTGCTGGCCGAGATCATACAGGTCGTCGGTAAGTTCGCTGATTTAATTACAAAGTTGGCTAATTAAAACCAACTCTGTTCACGTGGCGACTGGATGGAGAAAAATGTAGGATACATTACTGGTTTTAGAAGAAGTAACTTTTATTTAGTTTCACTTCTTAAAGCCATCACAGATGGATAGAAAAAAGAGGAGCAGTTTTCTGCTGAAAAACTCAAAAATAGGAGAGAAAAAACGAATCTTTTTCTGAAAAAAACATCATTTGTCATTTTTTTTTTTTTTTACTTTTGAAAAAATAAAACTTTTCTTAGCTCCAAAAGTTGAAAGAAAAATCTCAACTCAGATTCCATGATATAAAAGCTTTTTCAGTTAGTATTTCCTCAATATTGATGAAAGTGTTTGTTCCTCTGACAGATTATTTCACTTACAAGGAAAAATGTCTTTTTATAAGAGAAATAATCTGCCAATAATCTTCTGGATAATAACACTTTTATCAATATTAAGGTGTTATTGTCTTAAAACAAGCTCCTGTGTCTTTCTCAATAGTTGTAAGCTGATTTTAAGTTGGTAATATTTTGTGTTTCTGCAACCTGAGGGATCTTTCTGTGATGTGCTCCGTCTATAACTGTTTCCCACTTAAGTTAATAATTCAGCCTCTAGTAATGCAGGATGTCTCCAAAGTTAGTAATCCATATAAGTTGCCATAGTAGCCGCCTGAAGTAGGCTGTGAAAGTTGTTTGTTTCTGCGCCTTCTTGAACTTTGCCCCCGTCAGAGTCGTCATCATCATCGTTGTCATCTCGTCCGGCCGCCCTTGTGCTGTCATTGCGTCTGCTGGCAGACTGGAGGCTGAAACGGGCCGACGCCAGCCGACCGAACGCTGACTCGGCATGTCAGTGACTGTTTCGTCTCCCGGCTCTTCCCCCATGACCTCTGACCCAGATTTTAAACTTCCCCTTCATCTGAAGACGGCCTCTGTTCTCATAATGTAGCTGTTGAATCGCTTTTATTTCCGGTGAATCTGTCGCTGTGCTGCTCTACACTGTAAAACACTAAATCTTGCCAAGTAATTTTGGTCTATTTTCTAACAACAGTGTGTTAGTAGACTCGAATTAAAACAAAACTAACATTTCAGCAAGACATAGGAGCTTATTTTATGTAAATAATTCCTTAATATTGATGAAAACGTTGTGGTTTAATTGGCAGATTATTTCACTTTTAACTTGAAAAAATTTCTTATAAGTCAAATAATCTGTTAGTGCAGCTAGTATTTTTCATTAATATTAAGACGTTATTTACTTGACATAAACTCCTGTTCCTAGCTAAAAAGTTGCCTGTCAGGTAAGACGATTAGGCCCACTGAAAAAAAATCTGACATTTATTTCTCAGAATTTTGAGGAAAAAAATCTGAATTTTTTATTTTTTATTTGATAGTTGCACAAGAAACTGGATTATAAACTGTCTTTGGCTGTGAAGGGACAAAAACACAAAAGTATATCAGAAAAACTGCTAAATAAATAGAGAAGATAACCATTAGTTAGTTAATATTTCACGGTTTTGTCATTACGTTTGGGTTCCTACTGCTTCTAAAATCAACCAAAGCACTTAAAAAACATACCCGGCGGTTTTTCTCAAGACGTTTCTGTCTTTTGGTGTCTGAAAAATGAGCCGCTTCAAAAACCTTTACCTAGCAACCCAGCGGAACCCAGCCGTCGCCTAGCAGCACAAACTGAGTTCCAGAATGTTTGGTCAGCTGGTTTTCCTCTTGATGCGCTGTACAATGGCTGCTGGAAAAGACTCACGATCCGAACGGCTCGGTGTGTTCTCCACTTCTGCTTTTCCAACAAACAGTTGCATGATTGCAGATCTGTTTGCAGCCATTTTTTATGTGTGAGTGTAAATGTTGAGCAAAGGGGGCAGCAGATTATTTGATCCCACTGACCATATCTGGTCAAGGGAACCAATATATTTGGTTTCATTTGGTTGATCAAATACATCGGTAGAATACTGGCCGATATGTTTAATGGATTTAAAGTGACGGAGGCCCTGAAACAGCCTAAAATCTCATTATCTCCGAATGATTTTGTACAAAAAAACTGTGATGAACTCTATAGACCGTAGGACTGATCCTAATAATAAGGGGTTAGCTTGAAGGACAAATGAAGGTTAGTTGGTTGTGTCTGGTGGTTCTGTGATGGAGCGGCTCTTTTGGCCCCGCTGCGTCTCAGAAGCAGAAATCTGTCCTGCTGGCACAGTTGTCAGCTGTGATCTGACGGCCGTGTCTCAGCTGCTGTGGGCTGGGCCTTTAATGGCTGGGAGTGATCCTTAACACCCCCGACACACACACACACACACACACACACACACACACACACACACACACACACACACACACACACACACACACACACACACACGTTAAAAAAAGCAACACAACGCTGCTGGTCGGGGCCTCAGATGCATTGCTCCCATTTGTTGGGGCCGGATAATGTTTCATGTTCCTCATTCAGGCATCGACCATCCAGCACTCAAACATACTGAAGTCTCCATCCTTTGGATTAAAACAGGATTATTTTACTGAATAAACTCAGATGAGTTTCTAATCTCCCCTCATTTTCTCTTTTTCCTTTTTTTTGTCTTTTCTTTAGCCAATGAGAAGATTGATGATATCAATGGGTGTCCCAAAAGCCGTTCTCAGATGGTAAGTGACCTCTAAACTTTTTCACTGCAAAAACACAAACTCTTACAAAGTATTTATGGTCCACATTTTAGTGCAAATATCTCAGTGCACTTGAATGAAGACAAAACTCTTACAAGTAACTTTTTAGGAACATATTGACTCTTTTGTAGCGTGAACTCAAGATCCCATCAACATCTCCACGCTGGAGGGCAAAACCTGCTTGCTGACTAAGACGACCATTATTGGCTTTAGCTATTTAGTTGTGAATATAACACATTAAATCTTAAATGTACACTTCAGATAAAACAGGACAAAGAACACTACGCTTTGCTACTAATTGTCAAAACTACAACAACTAGATAACAAGGACAGGAAAAGTTTGAGTTAAGAAAGAAAATAGTGAAGGAGAGGGAAGTAGTTGTAGTTGTGATATGCTAGCTTGACTATGACAACTTTAACGTGTAGGTGTGCTGTGGGATTCTGTGTGTTTCGGTTCAGTTGAAAAATACAAAATGTAACCAGAACACCAATTCTGACAGGTCATCCGAAGAGCAGTTGTTAAATGAGCTAATCTACCTCCGCGCTGGTTGATTAGCGAATAGCAGTGGTAGCTAATCTGCCACAGAAATCACTTATCAATAATCGCAAAATAAACATCAAGCCTGAAAACATGAAACTGTAACGGACTTCTGATACATTTGGTGGCGTTGTCTGCATGTAGCGCAGCCGACACAGACGGTAGTCATCCAGATGTAAGCAATAACATGCAGAGGGTCCAAATACTAGTTCCAGTGCTGATTATTTCAGTTATAACAGGAAAAATGTGAAATAATCTGCCAACTGGACCAGTATTTTCTCATCAATATTAAGGAATTTTTCACTTAAAACAAACTCAATTATCTTCCTTTAAAGTTACTTTTAAGTTATTTTTGTTTTCTTTCAAGTGGACCAACATATTTGCACTAAAACGAGATCAGAAAAAACTTGTTTTTTGCAGTGTAGCAGTGTGTGTGCGTGCATCTGTGTGTAGTAACTCTCCCCTATGGAAGCTGCGGTACAGAAATCCCTGTGAGTGATTGTAGATGGGAACCGAAAGTCCATTTATATTTACTTTTATGGTCTAGTGGGCTACCGTCTGCGAAACATCTGGCCCAGACTTCGGGCTGTTGGCTCCCAGTTAAAAGCACCGCAGGTTTGGGTTTCAGAGCCACTTATGCCTCATCTTGTTCCACCAGTGAGGAGCAGCGGATTTTCTCAACGTTTAAACGCTGTTTTCTGTTGTTGTTGGGAAACGGGCGGCGCATCCCGAGGCCGGCCGGCCCGCCCTCCGCTGTGTGTGATGGGCTATAAATTGGGCCGGTGTGCCAGCTGAGCGGGGATATTTCTGGCCACCAGCCAGATTATTGAAGCCTTTCTAAGCACCAGAGAGACGCGGGGAGAGACGAGCACACCCAGATTTAACATCTGAGACAGAGGTGGAACCACAGCTGATCCCAAACCCAGAGGGCATCTAAACTGCCCTCCTGGAACAGATCTTGGTCTGTTTTCATGTGTTTAAATATTTTTTTGTTTCATTGCATATTTACACACGAGTAAATAAATAACATAACAGTATAAGAATGAAATTTTATGAGAATGCAGTCAAAATAAGATGACGATCTTATTACGAGAATAAGATTGTATGAGATTGATGTTAAAAGATTAAAGTTATAATAATAAGAGGAAAAGTCAGAATATTTAGACAATAAAGTCAATATGTAGAAAATACAGTTAGAATATTTAATGAATAAAGTCATAAAAAATGTAGAGATTAAATTATCATATTCAGAAAATAAAGTTAGAATAAACTTATGATATTTAGAGACATGAAGCCATATGAGAATAAGTAGAAATAATAGAAAGATAGAAATAAAGTTGAACGAGAATAAGCTTTCACCACATGCTTTGTTTTTTTTAATCTGAATTAAAGTTATTCTTTGTTTCTTGGGTTCCTTTTGCCCTTAGCTTGACAAAAATAGCTCCACTTTACAGAAGACCATCAAATGAGGCTTTAAAAACACATTTCATCTTGGTTATTCTTAGACGGTGCGTTTAATTTATGGTGGCTAGCTTTGAATGAGCCTTTATATGCTGAGCTTCAGTGGGTATTATTGGATCTCTGGGTGTAATCTCAGCAACTTCGTCAGCTTTGAAGGAAACGCGGCGCCGTGAAGGGCAGGTGCAACCGCAGTCATTATGCTAAAATCTGCTTTGTGTTTGTAGCGCCGTCAAAACAAACACGCGCAGGTTTGGGGAGTTTGTTTGACAGCTGGCTTGGAGAAACTCCACTTTAAACTCCCAAAGCTTCCAGTGGATGTTGCCAATTACCAGCGCTTAGCTTAACCCGGGCCTCTAAATGTCAAAAAGAAACACATCAACTGCAAAAGCATCAAATGTTTCTGCAGTGTGAGGTTGAACACCTTGCTCAGGCATAAGGGTGCCCACATATGCACTTGGCACCAGGACACCTGAAGCCGCAGTTCGATGGTGGACTTTGTCATCGTCTCATCGTCTCTTCGTCTCTTCGGCCGTATGTCTTGGACAGAAAGGTGCGGAGTTCTCCGGCTGTAGGGGAGGAAGCCGGTCAGACCTGGCAGGCCCAAACGGGTTGTGAGGGTCTGCTGGGAACGTCTGGCGGATTCCCCTGTGAGACGGAAATAATATATTTGCATTAGAAAACGGAGCTAAAATACTTGGTTAGATTTAGTGTTTTTGTAGTTTTCAGAAGGAGTTTCTGTTTTTACAGCTGACTCGTCCTTGTTAAACGGACCCCCATGAACCGGTCAGTGCTGAACCACCCAGTTTTAGTTTTAGTTTGTTGGTTTAGTCCAGATTAATGGTGTGGATTTCACACTGAGCTGTGAAAACCACACAGGATGCCAGTAAAACACGAGTTTGGTTTTTAAAGTGGTCCAGATGAAAAGCAGGAAGAGTTTAGCTTGTTTTCTGATTGCTCATTGCATGATTGTTGGCCTGTAGTTTTTTTTTCCTGCTGCCGTCAGAACTGTCAGAGTTGAAATGGGAGACTGACAGCTATACCTGGGTGGAAACCAGCAGGGCCGGGTATTTAATGGCTTTTCCTGCTTGTGTGTACTTGTTTAAAATCTCAACTGACATTAAGGTTTTCCTGTACAGAGATGTATCCTTCCAGGTTTCACTCTGAAAGTCAGTTTGAGTTTAAATCGACACTCAGCGACATTTTAATTGCTTTTCCTTTTTCATGACGGGTGAGTGTCGTTTTCTAGACTTTTAAGCTTTGATTTAAAACATGTTAGCTGCTTGACACATACTTTAGAAACAGTCGTTTGATATTTTATTCTGTCTGTGAGAAAATTGTAAGGAGTTTTTTTTCCAGAAATGTTCAAAAAATAAAAATTTAAATTGTGTGACAATTTGTTTCCACAGTTTGGCATTGATTTATAAAGAGACAGTTGGTATTTAAATCACCTTCAGGCACAGAAACTTACAACCGTTTTGGTTTCTTTAGATCCGACACAATGCTGCATGTTCGCAGTTTAAAGCTGGAGAAAAAGTTTCCTGAGCAAATAACTTATTGCACTTAAAACAAGATAAAGGCTGCATTCACACTGCAGCTTGAAGTGACCCAATTTCAATTTTTGACAAATGAGATATTTTTGCCGGGCCGTTCACCTGTATGTGTTCTGCAGTGTGAACGGCAAATGATTTGAAAGTGCAGAGTCATTCTCTGTGTACTGCCAACCGCCAATAAAAAGAAAAAGTGCTCCATGTTTAAACATGGATGCTAATGGTGGAGCATAGCTTACGCATTTGAAGTTGTTGTCCAACCGGAGCAGCATATTAACAACTTAATCCTCTTTGTAGCCCTTCCTGGTTGTTGTTATTCTTCTCGCTGGCGTGTATCAGGGCGCAGGATGGTGAGATTTTGTTGACGTTCAGTTCGGATGAATGCGACCTGGACGTTTGGTCGCATTTGAATCGGATGCGTATTGGATATCCAAGCGGCCTTCGAAAAGAATCTGACCTGTGTTGTTCAGACTGTCACGAAAAGATCGGATACGGGTCGGATCATGTAAAAAAAAACAAACAAACAAAAAAAAAAACAGAATTGGGTCACTTCAGGCTGCAGTGTGAATGCAGCCAAAAGCTAACTGAAAAATAACTTTTGTTTTTCGCAGTATGGGTAAAATGTACCAGTCTGAATTTTCATACTTTCACTTTGACTTTATTTTCTCCTTCAGAATTATAAAATAGGAGGATATTAGAGTCAAGAAGTTAATTTTATTTTTCTTTGCCTTCCTGGATTGAGCCCTCGAAAATTACCTGGATCAATTCGAGATCAAAGTTGCAACATCTGTTACGTTTTCAGCTGCTGCTCTGCATCAAATAATCCAAACACTTTTAAAAACCTGTTCCCATCCTCACCTGAGGGGGCGCTGCAGCATGAACCACTGAAGGAAACAACGCGACTTACTTCTTCGCAAAATGTAAACAGAAATGGAGTAGCATCAGATGTAACGGTTGTAGGATTTCTCTTTGTTTTTGGTAAAAGACAATGAGTCACTTCTCCTGCTTGCGCTAGGCTAACTCATTTGTTTTGGCTGTATTTACCCAGAATGCCCTGCACTATTGACCTTTGTGACAGTACTTCTTTTATTGCTTAAAATAAGCTTCTGTATTTTGCTGAAAAGTTAAAGTTACTTCTAAATTATTTCAAATTTATTAGGATCCTCACACTGAAATTAGATTGAAAATACTTGGTGAGGTTTTATTTTTGCAGTGTAAAAATTTCAATCAACAGTTGATTTATTTGTGCATTTCTTGTTATGTCTGTTGCTGTTAGAGGTTTTTTTTTTTTGGATTTGGAGAATGCAAATGATATAACCACATAAATATTTAATATGAATTCACAAAACTGTTAGTGTCAACAAAAACAATTGCCAAAGATAGTTTGAAATCTAACAATTTACAGTGTAAAAAAAAGAGTGTTTCAGTGGAGAGTGTGTGGGAAAATCCCATGTTTAGTCACCAAGTCAGAGCTGAGATGATCACATGTTGAACTGATAAGAAAAGAGCAACTTTAGTTTCTGTTGCAAAGCAACAAAAAAGAGAAAAAGTGAATCATTTGCTGTGTTTTTTTTTTTTTATCTCTGGGAAAATAAAATGGCGCAAATGCAGCAGAGGGTGAAATAACAAGCTGAACGGAGAAAACTTCCCATGTTTGACCCTGGGGTTTGGTTTTCTCATGCAGTGAGAAGAGCATTGCCACTGGCTGCAGATGCACTCAGTGTTCCTGTTTTGTAGCAGAAAGTCATCTGCAGCTGATCAGCAGCGCAGACAGTTTCCCTCCAGGAATCTGGGAAAAGCGTGGCCTTTAAAAATACAGACATTAGTTCAGGCATGTTCTAAAAACTAAATAGGAACTGTTCATTGAAAATAAAACGATAGAATAACAGGCAATGATAAATGACAGGTAGAGAAACCATACTAGCTCTTATTTATCTAGTATGAATCTATCTGTGGCTTCCATTATTGTCTCATTTTGCAAACTAAGAGTTTAAAAACAAAATCTCATCCAGTAGATAAGATTTTGTACGACTGTAAATATCTTAGTTCACTTGAAATAAGACAAAACTGGTGACTTTTCAGGAAGATATAAGGGCTTGTTTTAGTTAATAATCACTTAAACTTGATTATAAAGTTCTAGATCCACTGGCAGATTATTTCACTTTTAACAAGGAAAAAATATCTGGTTATAAGTAAGTAAAGTAATCTACCAGTAGAACTGACACTTTGTCAGCATATTTAATAAACTGTTGATATAAAACAAGCTCATAAATCTTCCTGAGCTCAGTTAGTTTTGTCTTATTCACTTCTAAAAATTAAACCAAAAATACTTAAGAGGAATACTTTTTACAATGTACAGTTTACAGACCAACATCTGGCTTCAGTGCAGTTCTGTATTATTTAGCATTAGCAACAATTCTTTGCTCCATGTCTCCATATTATTGGAAAAGTTTTTGTTGTCAGATTGTAGTGCAGATCTCATGCTAATGTAGTTGAGCTGGGAAAATGATAAGCAACCATTAATATGTCAAATGAGTGATAAATCACAGTGATTGCTAAGCTATATTGAGAAACAGGAAACTACGTAGCTTTAGCTTAGCTTAAAAACAATGAAATATAATGCAAAACACCAAAAGTTGTCAAATTTTAAGTCACCAATGGTAACTAAGCCATCAAAATCCTGCTCTTGCAAAAAAAGTACTCCTGACCTCTCTTCCTCTTTCTCTCTCTCACACACACACCCATAAACACACACACGCACACACTCATACACACAATAGCAGTCCTGTGATGGTTGGAAGTGTTTGTTCAGTTGTTGGCCGGCCGGCCCAGTGCGGCTGTCAGGAACCGGAGCAGGCGGTGACCGACGGCAGAGCCATGGCGAGAAGTCGGCCTCAGACACGCGTCTGACGCTGGAAACTTCTGACTCGTTTAGAGGTATTTTCAGATAAGGAGGCTTTATTCTGGATTTTCTAGATTTAACAGTCACAGTTTGCAGCATTTTCAGCACAGAGTGTTTTCTCATAGGCTGAAGAATAATTGTGATAGGTTTTTTTCTATAAGGATTTTTATTGTGGTTTTGGGAAGGTTTTTTTCATAAGCTTGTAGTCTCAAAGAGTATTGATGAGACTAACTAGTGTTTTAGTTAAAGTCTTTGGCATTTTAAGACAGTTTCATTATGACTGGTTTTAACTTCTCATGTAACTACTGAAAATCAGGAACAAACAGCTGTGGAAAAAATATAAATTTCAGAATTCTGACTATTTTTCTCAGAATTGTTGTGTTTTTCTCCAAATTTTGATTTACTCTGAGAATGTGGACATTTTTCTTAGAAATTTGACTGTCAGAACTGTAATGTTTTTGATCAGAATTTTGATTTTTTTATCTGGATTTTTACATTTTTCTCTGAATTCTGATGTTCATCTCAGAAGATGTTTGATATTTTTCTCAGAATGTTTGATTTAATCTGAGAATTTGGACAATGTTCTCAGAAATTTGACTGTCATATCAGAATTGTGATATTTTCCTCAGGATTTTTATTTGATCAGAATTATGATGTTTTTATCTGAATTTTGACGGATCTGAGCCACATAAATATGAGTTTTGCTGCAGATTTGGACCTCTGAACGAAGTTTCTGTGTTTGCTGTGCATTCATCTTCCTGCAGGTTTAAAATAGCACAAGGTTTCAGTGTTTTACCCCCCGGAGAGCGTGGCTGGGTACATCTCAGCAGGACAGGCCTGGCATTTACGACGAGACTCTCTGAAGGTGACTGCTATTCAGACTGCAGCTATAACAGAGAAAGTGGCAGTGAGAATAGTTCAGTCACCAAAGTGAGGTTTCAGATTCAGGGTATTGAAGAAAGACTTGGTGAGGGCGGCTCTTCAAAGAGGGTTATTTTTGGGTAGTTGTGGTATTCAAAGAAGGACATAGTCCCCATTCTTGCCCTACTTGTACGCTACGCCGTGTCATCTAGACGGACAGCATATGTCTGCTATACTGACAGCTGTTTCTCAGATCAGAGATCACAGATATGTCAGCAGGGGAGTTTTGACTCAGTCAGTTGACCTGCTCATACGCCAAAATAGCACTTGGAGGTTTAATTTAACAGGAGTTAACAGGAGTTAATTTAACAGGAGTTAAATTAAAAGATAGTTGGTGACACTCACATAGGACTGGACAATAAATCAATAATATTTATATATCTATCAATAGACAGAAAGGCTTTAGTGCCACTGCCAGTTGAGCCAGTTATTTGCCTCATAACTGCTTAAAAATAAACAACAGCGACGTGGAGTGAAAACTGTGGATAAGTCAGGAAATGTCAGTTCACCAGTTTGGCAGCATTTCAGATATTGAAGCAAAACAAAAACTTAAATAATTATCGATATTGAATTATATGAAACACTTCCATGTCATCCAATTCTAGAGAGCCAGATGTTTCACAAACAACATTGCAACAAAGCTATTTTTTTTTTGCATTCTAATAAACACTTTTTTTTATTGCTTTTTAAAAATAAATAAGCAAAATATAAGAAACAGCAAATAAAATGAATTATGGAGTCTGTGGAAGCAAAATAATTTTTAAAAAATGGTCTAGTTGAGACAATAGCAGCTGAATGAAGACTTTTGTCATCAAGTTTTTGTAGAGAGAGAGAGAAAACCTTTAAATCATGCAATTGGAATAAAAAATAGTTTTATTGATTTATTTCTTATAGGAATTAGTCCAGCCAACATTCGGGTAGTGTCTTTCATCCAAATGTTTTGCTTCATAGTTGTAGTGAACAAGAAGGACCAACGTCAAAATAGATGCAAGCTTTACTTTGGTTTATGTACCATCATTGAATTTCTTTATTTATTTAAAAGTTCACATGATAGAAAATGTAAAAATCCCTTTTTGCCTCTGGCTTCTCCCCTTAAAGCCGGAGGCATCCCAACCGGAGAATCTGTAGGTCAGGCTATATTTAGCTGCTGCATATTAAGTGTAATGGTGTCATTAATCGCTGGATAAATGGCACCCAACTGCTTTTTGCCCTCATCCAATGGAGTTAGTGTGTAGTTTATATGTGTTTTACTTTCTGGATGGCTCTGAGGATTGATTTATTTTTTTATGTGTAAGTGTTCCAGGTTTTCCCAACTTTCTTACATTCTTCACCTTTTGGGGTTTCTGTTAGTTTGTGAAGCCGGTTCTGTAATGTTCTGCTCATCTGAGAGTCTCATATCTGACAAGAAAGGAGTGTTTTGCGCCATATTGATATCTTTTATGCGTCACCCTTTGTGTTTACTCATCGCCTACAACCTTTGGTCATCCCCATTTAATGACTTGTTTTATGTGGTTTACTTTATAATCACGTGACCCGGTCATCACATTCTGGGCATAATGGGTCAGACAATCCCGAAACAAAGCCAGTCTGCCTTTCAAATCCTCCTGTTGTCCAATGGCAGCTCAGCAGGTTGCCAGGGCTGTCGTTATAGCAGCTGAGCTGCAATAGAGGGGTTGTTTCAGTTGAGAACTGCTGACACATGTATGATTGATTTTTTTTCACCAATGTCATCAAAATAAGTCTTAATTCACCATGAAGCAGAATTTAAAAAAATATAATAGATATAATTAAAATAATTAAAGAAAATGTTTCAGCGCCAAACATGCAAAGGCCAGAGCAGTAATTCCTCTACTCCATATAGATTAGAATGTAAATATGGAGTCTTTGTTGACTTTCTCTTGTGTTTTTTCCTCTCCAGATTGAGAACATTGATGCTTGTTTGAGTTTCCTGGCAGCTAAAGGAGTCAACATCCAGGGTCTGTCTGCAGAAGGTGAGCTAGACTGATGCATGACCCTGAATGTTTTGGGTTTTACTAATTCAATACTTCACATGTTCTACTTTCTCTAAAATTGAGTTTGGGGTGCTCCAAGGTACAATCCTGGGATTCCTCTCATTCATGATGCTCCCACTGCCTCAGGTTGTAAGATTAGTTATCATATCTATGCAGATGATACTCAGCTCTATATTACAATGTCACCAGGTGAAATCATGCTGAACAAAATGCTCTGAACAGTATTTTATCATATTTTGTTTTCAGCTGAACTGAAACAAAACTGAAGTTTTTATCTTTGGACCTGAAGAGGAACAATCTAGTCAGTTATTACAGCCAGAAACCAGCGATCAGGCCTGAAATCTGGGTGTAGTCATGAACTCAGAAATAAACTTTCAGAGACACATAAAGGCAGTTACAAAGTCAGCTTTCTGTCACATGAAGAACATTTCCAGAGTTCAGGTCCAGGGAAGATCTAGAGAAACTCCTGTATGCGTTGATCTTTACTGGTCAACATTGGAACATTGACCAGTACAGTTAATGTGACAAAATGTAACGTCTGTTATTGGTTTTCACAACTATTGACTGTTGACTGATGTTTTTTAATGTTTTCACAGTGCAAAGCACTTTAAACTGCTGAAATGTTCACATAAATAAGGTAGATTCTCTGTCTGACCCTCAGAGATTCGTAATGGGAATCTGAAGGCGATCCTCGGCCTCTTCTTCAGCTTATCCCGCTACAAACAGCAGCAGCAGCAGGCCCAGCGGCAGAACTCCAGCCCAGCCTCCCGCCGGCGGCCCAAACCCAGAAACACACCCTTCCCTGAGCCAGCAGAGCAGCGCTCCGGCACAGCTCAGCCACTCTTCGCATGGGACGCCCGCCCTCACAGCACAGAAAGCAGCACAGGCCGAGATGCAGTCCAGGTGAGGTTGGTTCGTCAAATCAGTGCAGATTGAAGATGCAATGTGTAACTTTGACAAAAAACCAAACAAAACGTTTTTTACATATTTGTTTAAACTGTCACCTTGTTGTGACTGAAAACGTGATCTCGAGTGCCTTCTGAAGAAATGCACCAAAAACAACTAATCAGAGCCAAGAGGGGGGCTTACCGCTGTCAATCACACCCATGTACACGCTAATGGTGGATAAACAGATTATGGCTGCAGAAAGTCGTCCATCATTGTTGGCTACGCTTAGGTTTGTCATGATTACAAATTTTGCTAAACAAGAAATTGTCCCAGAAGTTATTGCAATAATCCATAATGTTTTGAGATTATTTCAATTCATATAATGATAATGGAATAATAATAATAATGATGCTAAAACACATTCTCAAAGCTCAAACTTTATATTTTAATAACATTTAATGCTGGAACTAGAAGACTGTTTAAATATCCACAACAAATAAACAAAACAATAAAACAAGTAAAACTAAACAAAAATGTCCTTCAAATAACAGCTAGTTGAGAGCAAAAACCAGGACAATTCAAAACTAGAATTGTAAAAAACCAATAAACCATGCAAATGGTAATTATCGATATACTTTTAATTTATTATGCGATTAATTGATTTGTTGCTTATTGCAAAAGGTCATTATTAGCATAGCCAGTCATAAATCCTGAGCTTCATGACAGCTCAGCATTCAGTCATCTGATTGTTGTTCCTAGTTAGCTCTGGGAGAAGACAAATTATCTGTAAATTGTCACGACAAATTGACAGTTTCAACAAATAAGTAAAAAAATATATATTTTAACAAAAATTACATGCTGCAACTTTAACCAGGACACAGGATTGGATGAAATTTTCTGCTTCACTTTCTTCAAACCATCATTTTGACATTCTATCTTCTTGCTCACATTTCATATCATTTAAATTTCTAAACATGACTTCTCTCCCATCCTCCTCCACGTCTCCCGTCTCTTTTCTTCTTCTCCTCCTCCAGGGATGCTTGTCAGAGTAAACTTCTCAAGTTTTCCATTGGTCAGAAAAGAGCTCTAGGTCAGCTTCACTTGCTCTCCTGATTTCCTGCCCTTTCCTTCACCTCACCAGCACTTTCACCTGGAATTACACTGCAAAAACACAAACTCTTACCAAGTGTTCGTCTAGTCGTTCGTGTGAATATCTTAGTACACTTGAAATAAGACTAAAGTAACTTTTTATTAAGATATATGAACTTGTTTTAAGTCAGTAATTTCTTAAAATTCAAGGAAAAGCATTGACTCCATTGGCAGATTATTTAATTTATTACATATACAGCAATATTAAGCAATTATTGACACAAAAAGCTCACATTTTTTGCTGAAAAGTTACTTAAAAGTCAGTTTTGCCTTATTTCAAGTGGATTATGATGTTCGCATTAAAAATATTTGATAAGATTGAATGTTTTTACAGTGTAGAAAGCTAGAAATCGCCTCTAATCAGAGATAACTTATTTTTTCAACCATTATGAGGTTCCTATTGCTTCTTTGTCTGTGATTAAGGGCAATTTCTACTACAAGCACCATCAATAATGCATGAGTGATGGTGCTCCACAGATAGACACTAAAGCTCCTGGCTCCACTTTCAGAGGGTTCTTGTCTGTTTCTGGCATCACGCCTCATTTGGCCGGTCTGCTAAATGGGCTGTAAAAGACCTTTAGATAACCCTTAAGTAAGTAAGTGTGTGGGTTGGTTTTCTTGACAAGAACGTCCCCCTCTCCCCTATATAATGTGACATTAATAATTAACACAGAACCTGCAGCAGGGATTGTGCGTTTGAAGTGATGCGTGACAGAAACTTGCCTTTGTTCTGTTTCGTTTGGTTCTGTTAACGTTTTGTCAGATTCTCAGCATGCATTTTACTCTAAAGTGATAACTTTCTCTTTGAAACTGAATGCAAGATCTGGTTTTGCATGCAGCCCGTCCCAAAGCTGCACCTGCCTCCTGTAGACACTACAGCCCCTCAAATGTGGTTCAATGTCTCCATCTTCTGGTCAACTTGCATAACTACAATGTGAAGACATTGCTGTAGATGCCTGGTTATCTCAATGTATTTATATGTATTTTAATACTCAAAATGTGTGTTAAAGGTAATAAAATGTGCAAATATATTATTTTTGTCAGCATTTATTCTGAATATGTTTGTTAAAATGTGTTTAAACATAGAATGCTGCATTTATTAGATGAAATATTATCTAATGTCAGCAAAGTGCATTGACAATGAGCCATGTTTCTAGTGGCATAGCCAGTGTGTTTTTGTCATAAAACAAAAAAACATTTATAACTTTTAAATATTTTTATTGTGGCTTTTGGTTGTGAATAACTTCATAAATGTTAAATTAGAAGTTTTTTTTTTTTAAAAGAATGAGTATTTGCAACTCAAATCCAGATCTTTATACTTAAACTATAACATATTTGCATTAATATGTTGAAACCAAACAATTTTTTGTCTCTTTGTTGTTTGACTTTTTGTTAGAATTAGAAATGTACAACAGTTCTTGCTGACCTTCCTAAACCAGTTCTTACCTGTTCTGTGTGAAAAAGTCCTTTTTTGTGTCAAATCAAATGTTCACATATTTTAAAGTCCCTTGTGAAAGCTCAGATGTCTGGCCTCATTACTCCCCTCTCCCATTGTTTTTTTGTTTTTTTCCCTGATCTGTTGATCAGACTTCCTGGCCCGACAACAAGGGTGTCCACTGCTGGCGGTGACGTCCCTCCCAGAAGCTCGGTCAGCGCTGCTGGAAACCGGCGCAGTCAGGGCTGCAGTGACAAGACCAAAGCAAGTTTACATCCGAACAAAGGTGAGAAATTTCATAAATGGAGAAAGTTTTGCATAGAGTTTCATCTTTATATCCTAACAAGAATCACAAGAACATTGGTTAACTTGTTGTGATTGTAAATTGTTTTAATTTATTCTTAATTCCAGTAATGCTAAAAAAAAGACCCCATTGTTGGGCTTGCTAGTTTTACTGTTTTATGGACTATTCAATTTAAGACTTAGACTTAGACTTAGACTTGACTTTATTGATCCCTTGGGAAGACTCCCTCAGGAAATTATAGTTACCAGCAGCTCACAGGCAAAAATGTGGCACACAGTAAGCATACACAAAATACAAAAAAATACAAATTAAATACAAAACAAAGAATATAAATACAACACAAAAGGAATTATAGCAATTTGGTCGATAGATTGACCAGTGATATCAGTAACTTTAAAAATATGCTTAAATGAAGGTACGATTTGCAGTTCAATTATTTTAATCACTCTTTTATGTGACTGGTTTTGGAAACACAGCCAATGCTTTGTGGATACTGAAACTATTTGTGTGTATCTGTCAAAGGAAAAGAAATCCTGTGGAAAAAGTAATGCAAAATATTTTTATTTAGAAAAAAATATGAAAGATAAGTTTTGTCAATAAGTCATGAGGCCTAGAAGAGATTAGCATTGACATGAGACATCTTTAAAACAGTCCAAAATGGGCTCAAGTGGCAGGTAAAACCAGAAATAACAAGAGCCCCAAATACAGAACCCTGAGGTACATCAAAATGAAAATGGTTTAAATTCATAACTCTTATGTGAGTGAGACTAGTAAGAGGATTGATCATATGCAAAGATTTCTTATCATGCATGCACTCTAAAAATTTAATTATGTGGCAGAAGTAATGACAACTATTTTATTTAGATTTAAACATGTAGAATATGTTTTTTTGATAACTTTTGAGGCCTAAAAGAGTTTAGCATTGAAATGCTAAATGTTCTCAAAGGCATGTAAGTCTAACAATAACAAGGGCTCCAAATACAGAACCCTGAGGTACACCAGTCTATGGTGAAGTGAATGAATGAGCCTGGTTGGCTGCTAGGCCATTGTCATAGCTTCTTGTTGTGCACCAGGAAAGAAATGCGTGTAATGCCAGATATTGTTATTTAGCAACAAGCATGTCAGAAATGTTTTTTTTTCATAATTCATGGGCCTAGAAGAGATTAGCTTTGACATGAGTCATCTTTAAAGCTGCCCAAAATGTGCTCAAGTTGGCATATAAAACCAGAAATAACAAGGGCCCCAAAAGCAGAACCCTGAGGTACACCAGTCTATGGTGAAGTGAATGAATGAGCCTGGTTGGATGCTTGGCCAATCGTCGTAGCTTCTTGTTTTGCACCCTAAAGAAATGCGTGTGATGCCAGATATTGCTATTTAGCAACAAGCATGTCGAGATTAGCATTGACATGAGCCATCTTTAAAGCTGCCCAAATGTGCTCAAGTGGCATATAAAACCAGAAATAACAAGGGCCCCAAAAGCAGAACCCTGAGGTACAAAATGAAAACGGTTTAAGGAAGCCCTATAATTTGAAGCAGCCCACAGAAGGAATGATTGGAACGATATGAAGAAAACCACGGAGAGGCAGCGCACGATACGGCAGGCCAGTACCTCAACCTGATGTGGCGGTCAGCGTATCAAAGGTTCGGTCCAACATAAGGACAGGACATTCTGTGTCGCTTCGCACCACATCATACTGAGAATAGCTGATGACGTTTACTGAACCCTGATTGAAATGTATGCTGTTTTTACTCAGAGATGCAGTGAAAACAAAGAGCAACTCCCCTGAACTTCTGGTTCAGCCTTGATCAGCATGCTGCAGCCATCTAAAGTGTTTATTTTATAAGAAGCAGCACTCAGTTTTGGTTGAATTGTTAAGCCAGGAAAGAAAAGCAAGAGGATCCTCTTAAAACGAGAGTGCAAACATGTTAATGTTCCTCTACAACCCCTGCAGCTTCTCTGTTTTTACAATCTGCTTCAGGTATTTGGCAGCAGATTTAGCATAAATGGTGCTTGAAGCGACTGTTCAGTTGACCCGACCTTATATAGACTTTTTAGTGTCCGACATCTAAACTCATTACCCAGAATTACACAGGGAGTTTTGACCGCCCAGAGAGACTGGGAGAGAGAGCGATTTCATTGTGTTAAACAGTGCCAGGCTAACCCTGCAAAAACACAAAATCTTACCTTTTTTGTGTAGTTTCTAGTTCAAATATATTAATATATTTCAAATAAGACAAACCTAACTTTTCAGTGAGATGTAGGAGCTTGTTTTAAGTTTGTTATACTGATGAAACGTAATAGATCAACTGGCAGATTATTTAACTTTTAACAAGACATTTTTTCCATGTTATAAGTGAAATAATCTGACTGTATATCTCATACTTTTTCCATTAATATTAAGGAGTCATTTATGTAAATTAAGCTCCTATATCTTCCTTAAAAGTTAATTTGTAAGTTAGTTTTTTCTTGTTTCTAGAAAAGTCATAATGTACCATCTACTTGAACTGAAAAAGAATCAAACATGGAGAACCAACATTTAGTTTTATCAGAACAAGAATCCAAGAAAACCCCTAGTACTTTCTATTATTAGTTTTATAGTATTTTTTTATTATTAAACATGGGGAACCAAAATGTAGTTTTATACTTTTACCTTGTGTTTCTTTTGGTTTGTTGTTTGTTTGTTTTTCTCCTTCTAATTCAGTAAAGCAATGAAATGGCATGCTGCTGAAAATGTGCCATACAAGTAGAATTACCTTGCGCTTGATTGACAGCGCTAAGACCCGCCCCCTGGCTATGATTGGTTGTTTTTGGTCAAGAGTGCATTTCATCAGCAAGCTCAGAGTGTGATCTTTCACAGATTATCTGCCTCATATACACTGTAACAACATGGTGTCAGTTTTAAGAACTATATAAAAAACATATTTTTAAAAAATTATCTATTGCAGCTTTAATTGATTCTTCATTTGCTGTTAAATAAGCTTGTCTTAGCTTCAATCCAGAAAGAAAGAGTCCCTTTGTTCACATTGAATAAAGTGAGGCTGTTTTGCTGAACGGTTTCACATTATGCTGAATGAAGGTGCATAAAAGCAGCAGTAAATGGTCTCAGCTGCATGAAGACGGGCTGGGATGTTAGCAGTCAGCTGACGGGCGAAGCATGAATGAAGCAGATGATCTCAATTACCTGCAAACTGTCTGCTGCTCAGACTCTCAGGAAGAGCAGAGTGGAAATAAATAAAAAAATGTCCAACATACTCCAATAAAGGAAGAGCTTTTATAAGCATTTCAATGGAGCGCATACACTGTAAAACCTAAGTAGTTCTTACTTAAAATGGCAGTATTATGTATTAGTGCCTTTTTTATAGCACAATCAAGCAACTTTAACTTCAGTTATTATAAATATGCCTATATATCAAATATTAAAATAAATTTAACTTTGTAATTTACCACCTTGAAATTAGGAAATGAATCTGTCTCTTTTGGAAGCTCCTTCTCTTTCTGAAGCTCCGCCTTCATGGCTCCTCTATTAACCGTTAACAGTGTTTTTTGTTTGTTTTTTCTTCAACCAGCATTTCACTGAGAAGTAGCTTATAACATGAAATGCACAATGCCACTTGATGTTTGCTAATTGCTGCTGGCTAGTCTGAAGGAGCTGACCAAGGGAGGGCCTCACTGCGAGGCGTTTTTCACATCTGAATAGTTGCTAAGATTTCTTAAACATCCATGAAAGAATCAATGCAACACTCCAGGTGTGCTTTAGATGAGGACATAAAATTATAAGGTGATATAAAGCTCAAAAACGTCTTTTTTACATAAAAAATATGTATTGCCTCAAATTTTTCCAGTTTCCATTAAATTAACTGAGGAACAGCTACTTGTGCAGTTTTAGTGAGTATAACTACAGTTAACTTAATAAATCTGAGGATGTTGTAGTTACTTAAAGAAAATTGTATAAAAAGATTGATTGAAAATGTTTCTACACTGCAAAAACACCAAATCTTGCCATATATTTTGATCAAATTTCTAGTTCAAATATTTCTTGCAATAAGAAAAAATATCTCAGGAGCTTGAGTTATAGGAGCTTTTTTTAAGTAAATAATTCCTTAATATTGATGGAAAAAGCTCTACTTTGTCTAGTAAATAAATTCACTTAAAACAACACGGGTTTTACAGGTTACAAGTTAAATAAACTAGAACTTTTTCATCAATACTAAGGAATTATGCACTTGAAACAAGCTCCGATATCTTGATGAAAGTTAAATGTAAGTTCCTTTTTTTATTTCAAGTCTATGAAGATATTTGCACTGGAAACTAAACCAAAAATGCTTTGTGAGATTTTATGTTTTTGCATTTTGCATTTTGTAGTAATCAGTAATACTACTACATATTTTGTAATAAAGAATTGCACAATGTATTTGTGTATTTTATGACATTATTACATATTGTGTAGCTTCATTTTAAGGTTGCTAAAGATAAACACGCCTCACTTTTTATTTGTAAAGGTTGAAAGCTGTGCGTCTCTCTCCTCTCTCCAGTTGATAATTACAAGCTCCTTTATGTTAGCCTAACAAATTAAAGCCTTTGGTCGTAACGTGATGAAGTGCGATAAAGTTGGAGATGTGACGGCTGTGCAGAGTTAAAAATGACCACAGTGGTCATGTTTCCAAACTCCGCCCCAGTCCTGTCTGCGGACCACACTCCGCCTCCCTGAGCGCCACTTTGAGTCTCTCCTCTCCTCTGCTGTCCATCTTCTTCCTTCTCTACTTTACTTTCCTGCTTGATGTCTGCAGCACCAGCCAGGTTTGTCAGCTTCCACTTCTATTTCCCCTCCTAAAATGGTAACTTCAACAGATTTATAAAGCTTGGATTAGTTTCTTCTTCCCCCCTTTTGAGGTAGCAACCAATCTCTAATTGTGGCTTTTTATAGATTTTTTTCCTAACTTGTAATTTTGCATGCATGTTTAAAACGTTGCTACTGCAGGTT